GAGGGGCCATAAAGGTGCAGAGTGAGGGGCCATAAAGGTGCAGTGAGGGGCCATAAAGGTGCAGAGTGAGGGGCCATAAAGGTGCAGGGTGTTTGAGGAAGGAGTTGACTATAGCTGAACGGAAGTGATGGCCAAGAGTGGCAGCTGAGAGACCCTGCTGGTGTCCTGCGCGGGCCTTGTAAGGAGCCGTAAAACTGCCCTTCCCACCCCGGGCCTTATCAGTGGGTTAATCTCTAACTGTGCGGAGCCGTACAACTGCCCTTCCCACCCCGTGCAGTCACTCTCCCGGGGAGGGTCTTGGGGAGTCCGCAGAAGGGACCCAACGGCAGAGCAGGAGCTCCGCGGTCAGTGTGGGGCCTCGTCTGGGTGTGGGAAAACATGTCGTCTCTCACGAAGCTGTGGGTGTCTCCAGCGGGACCCTGACCCTGCCTGGGGTGCATGGCCCGCTCTGCTCTGCGGCCCCTCACGCTCCCCTCCCTGTGCCTGGGGATTCTAGTGTTTACTGGGCCTTGGCCGCTAGGAGCCTCTTCAAGGTGGTTCCATTTTGACTAAGGACTGGAGGGTGCATTGAAGAATTGTAGAGTGGAGGTGATGGGAGGGCCGGAAGCTCCTGTCCCGTCTCCTAGAAGCGTGGCTGTGGTAGAGCCACGGTGGTGGCACCGGCATTGGTGTCTGAGGTGCCGTGTGTGCCGTGAGGATGAAGTGTGAAATATTATGGGAGTTCCTGGTTCTATCATCCCCAGTGTCTTCGAGACCCACACCCTTGGTGTGGAAGAAAGGAGACAAGATGTCATACGAAGAGGTTCTGTTGAAAGCCGCAGTCTTAGAGCTGGAGGTTCCAGTGTGGACTACTTGGTGGTTCCCGTGAGGGGCTGGGCTGTTGGTGGCCCTGAGCTGGCCCCATGTGGGTCAGCTAGTGGCTGGGTGGGGCAGGCACTTTGACCAGAGCCTTGCCTGCCAGCTCCCTGCTGTGGCCACAGCCCCAGGGGTGCCTTGAGGTCCCATGCAGGGTGAGGAGACTGCGGGGGCCTTGAGGTCCTGAGGGCTGCCCCTGTTTGCTGTCAGAATGCACCTGGCCACCCTGGCGCAGCCATCCTTGAAACATTCCAACAGCAATGTTTCAAGAAGCAGAGATGGGTTCTCACTATATTGCCCAGGCTGGCCTCAAGCTCCCAGGCTCAAGCAATTCTCCCACTTCTGCCTCCCACAATGTTAGGATTACAGCCGTAAGCCACCGTGCCTGGCCTGAAACATTACATGTTTGCCCGATTTGTCTTTCTTTTCTTCATAACCTTTTGGTTTTGTGTCTTGCTTAGACGGCAGCCTCATTCTCTTTTATCCTCTGACTTCGGTGGTTTTATTTTTTTACATTAAATCTTTGACCCATATGGAACTGATTGTGATCTATGGAGTAGATCTGGGAGAGCCGATGTTCGTTATCATGACTGTTTAGAATTTTTCTGGCCATCACTATATGTTTTTTGTCTATTTGAACTTTAGAAGTGACTTCTTAGTTAAAAATTCTCTTCTTGGAGATTATGCTAAAATTCAAGATTGTTTTATGCAAAAATCATCTCCTTTCCCCAAAAGGAGAGGAGTGCTGGGCCAGCGTGTGGGAGTGAGGACCTGCCTGTCAGGAACTCTTCTTGGGCAGGGGCCAGTGGGGCAGGGCAGAGCCAACCCAGCCCTCCCCTCTTCTCCCAGGCAGAGCATGAATGGTCGTGTGACCACTGAGCAGCGGGGCAGATCCTAACCCAATTCCACGCCCCGGGAGGGTGAAGAGTGACGTCGCACTGGGCCTGGGTCCTGCCTCCCTGCTGTTCTAGCACCCCCAGCCCCCTGGCCCACCTGCCACCTGCCCTCTCCTCCAGCTGCTGGGCTTCTTGCCCCGCTTTGCCTTGGTTACAATTCCTCCTTCCCCACTGGCTTGTTGTGCTCCTATGTACCCTGTAAAGCCCCATGCAAAGGCCCCAGTCCAAGCAGGAAGCTCACCCCTTGTGTCCTCTCCAGATGCTGAGCTCGTCGAGTGCAGCTGTGGTGTCTGCTTCCCTTGTAGCCTGTGCCTGACCTGCACCGAGACACTATGGCCCATGTGGCACCCCCAACCCATCACTGAGGGACCACGGACCACGTGGCACCCCACGCCATCATTGAGGGAACCCGGCCCACGTGGTAGCCCCACCCCATCATTGAGGGGCCTCTTTGCTGCTGTCACCTGATGGGGGGCTTTGCCCAGTGGATGGGGGACCCTGGCTCCCTGCCCGACTCTGCGGTCAGGACTTACCCAGATCTGCTCTTCCCTGATTTGGCTGCACCTGCCGGGTTCCTGGGACCCAGGCCAGGCGTCCTCAGGCGTCCTCGTGTGGGCCCCGCCTCCCTGTCTGGAGGCATCATGCTTCCTTCAGGCCCAGTCAGCCCGGGCTGCCACAGCAGACACCACAGACAGGATGGCCCCAGCAGCAGACATGTGCTTCTCACGGTTCTGGAGGCCGGAAGGCGCGTGACCTCAAGCCAGTGTGGCGGGTTCCTAGGGACGGCCCCCCTCCTGGCCTGCAGGTGCCACTTTCTCTCTGTGCCCCCATGTGGGGAGTGAGGGTGGGGAGTGGAAGCTGCACTCTGGTGTCTTCTTTGTCTCAGAAGGACACGAATCCCATTACAGGGTCTCCACCCGCCCTCACAACCTCGTCCAACCCTGACATGTCCCAGAGGCCCACCTCCAGGCACCGCCACGCTGTGTGTTAGGGGTTTGGCCCGTGGATTCTGGGGGCGCACAGTCCATTGCACCAAACTCTCGGCCTCTCCAGATCCCCTGGGGTGCAGAGCTCAGGGTCGCCGTCCCATCACAGTCTCCCAAGGGGCCCTGCCTGGGTAGAGGTCCCCTGACTTGCTCCCACCTCTGGTCCCAGGAGCGCAGCCCTGTCAGCTCCCGAACCCCAGGGAAGGGGATGGCTCATCCACTAGGCTCTTTCCAGCCCTGAGCCATTCAAGGGTGGTCAGGGTGGGATCAGATTCAGGCCTGTCCTGGGTTGAGACCCCCTAACCCCTGGGCCAGCACCCAGTGGATTTGAGGACAAGACGTTACAAAGATGAGGGGAGGCCCAGACCTGTGTGGCCCAAGGACCTGGGCTTGGCCGAAGGATGGGAGGTGGGGTGGGGTTGGCACAGCCCGGCCTGGGCACTCATGGGCTGCCATTTCCACAGGTACTTCCGGGTCATCCTCCTCCTCCTCCTGGCCCTGACTCTGCTGGTGCTGGCCAGATTCCTTCTCACGGACTTAGAGCTTGTGACACCGTAAGTCCTGCCGCCACCGTAAGTCCTGCCCCGGGCAGGCGCCTCCTAACAGCCCCGAGGGCAGAGCCCGGGACCCCAGCATGGTCACACCTCCCCACTGGGCCTGAATCCCTCTGGAAGAGGAGGGACAGATGGGCCCTTCCTTGGGGGCACCCGGAGATTCTCCTGTTAACCACAAACCTGCCTGGGCCTCTGGGGAGGGCTCTGGGGAGCAGGGGCCGGGTCTGGGTTTGGGGGCAGAGCCAGCTAGTGTGTGCAGAGGGTCCCTAGTGTGGCGGGCAGGGCTGGAGGCCTCCTTCTTGCTCCCCAAAACAGAGGTGGCCTGTGGGCCTGGGCTGGGCCTGGGCTGGGATCTGGGAAGGAAAAGGTCAGAACTGTGCTCAGGACAGACCTCGCAGCCCTGGGCCCGCCTGGAGACCCTCTCCTCTGCCCGCCTGTGGTACATCCTCTGTGGAGCCCCTGTGCATGGAGGTGCCCACCTCGCAGCCCAGCTGTGCGTGCAGACAGGGCTTCAGCCAGGCTGCTGGGAGGGTCTTCCAGGCCCTGCCACTCCCCAGCCCCTCTGGTTGGAAGAGAGAGGAAGCACCAGTCCCCTCTGGGCCGAGCTGAGCTGCCGGAGACAGGTCCCAAGGGCCCTGTCTTTGCTCACCCGCGTCGCCCAGGCTGGTTAGGCCTGGAGACCCTGACCCCACCATCCTGGTCACTCCTGCTGGCCCTGCTCTGGGGCAGGGAGGGCGCCTGCTACTCCAGGCCCACTGGGTAGGTGTCGTGAGGGGGTTCCAAGAGTGGGCCCAGCGTCTACTCCAGCCCTACATCTGGCCGCCAGTCTCGGCTTTGGGGTCCTTCCTTTTCCTGGTGTGAAGGGACTGCCAAGAAGCACCGCATGTGTGGCTGAGGTCACATGAGGTCACATGATGTCGCATGAGGTCACAGGGCCAGCTGCACGTGCACGCCTGGACGCCAGGGAGAAGGTTGGGGTGACGTGTGGGCCAGAGGGTGTAGCCCCTGAGGGAAACAGAGGTGGGTCCGAGGACACGGTCTCTGTGGGGCCCTGAGGCCGGGGCTGAGGGTCTGTAGGTTGGGGCGCAGTGACGGATCTGGTGGGGGTTCCAGGGTTGGGGGTGTCAGCTGAAGAATCATGACATCTATAAATTTGGAAAGGAGACTTTGTTTCTTACAAAGTGTGGACATCCCACAGGCTGGGAGCACAGCCGTTGAAAGGCTGTGAGCGGACACTTCGAGGGAGGGGGTGGGACAGGGACATACTCTGAATGGCTTGGCCAAGTACACGTTCAGCAAGTGACGGGAGGAGCTGTGGATATTCGTAAAGGGGGTCCTGACGCATGTGTCCTGAACAAACACGTGTGTTACGTGTGACCCACGTTCACCGTGGGGTGGAGACTGCACATCTAACTGCGTTACAATCAGGCCCTGCACGTCAGAAGGTGAAGCTGGGACGGGAAGCACTCGGTGCGCAGCCTCTGTAAACCGCCAGAACCGGTTCGGGGCTGGGGGTCCCTGCTCAGGAGACGGTTACTGAGATGGGGCTTTTGTCCAATTGCAGCTGTGGTTCTGGCTGGCGGAGCAGGGGTCAGCAAGGCAGCGTCTGGCGGGGGTGAGCTGCACCTGCTTTAACGTTGTTCATCTCAAGGCCAGCGTTTGGCTGCCAGAGACAAAGAAAAGCTTGTGGCAGGGAGAACCTGGTTTCTGCTTTAAGTGCAGTGTGCGTGACTTAGCCCCTGCCTGGTGTGGCCTCAGGCCCTGTTGATAATTTGGTGTCTTATGGCCACAGTCGGTTCTGCTGGGCTATTGGTCTCTTTTTATTTTTTAATTAAAAGAAAAATTTTACTTTAAGTTCTGGGACACAGGTGCAGAACGTGCAGGTTTGTTACACTGGTATACACGTGCCATGGTGGTTTGTGTCTCACGCGTCCGTGTGAAGAGACCACCAAACAGGCTTTGTGTGAGCAACATGGCTGTTTATTTTACCTGGGTGCAGGCGGGCTGAGTTCGATAAAGGAGTCAGCAAAGGGTGGTGGGATTATCATTGGTTCTTATAGGTTTTGGGACAGGCGGTGAAGTTAAGAGCAAAGTTTTGGGGGCAGGGGATGAAGCTCACCAAGTACATTCTGAAGGGTGGGGAGAATTACAAAGAAACTTCTTAAGGGTGGAGGAGATTATAAAGAACCTTCTAAAGGGTGTGGGAGATTCCAAAGGACATTGATCAGTTAGGGTGAGACAGAAACAAATCATAATGGTGGAATGTCATCGGTTAAGGCTATTTTCACTTCTGTGGATCTTCAGTTGCTTCAGGCCGTCTGGATGTTTACATGCAGGTCACAGGATATGATGGCTTAGCTTGGGCTCAGAGACCTGACAGTTTGCTGCACCTGTCAACCCGTCATCTGGGTTTCAAGCCCCGCATGCATTAGATATTTCTCCTAATGCTTTCCCTCTCCTTGCCCCCACCCCCACGATAGGCCCTGGTATGTGCTGTTCCCCTCCCTGTGCCCACGTGTTCTCATTGTTCAAGTCCCACTTATGAGTGAGAACATGTGGTGTTTGGTTTCCTGTTCCTTTGTTAGTTTGCTGAGGATGATGGTTTCCAGCTTCATCCACGTCCCTGCAAAGGACATGAACTCATTCTTTTTTATAGCTACATAGTATTCCATGGTATATATGTGCCACATCTTCTTCATGGTCTCTATTTAACACTCACACTGGGCAGTTGCTGTGTCTAAACCGCAAAGGGGAGGGGGTGTGATGATGGGATGGGTCTGACCTCCCATCCCATCACTGCTGGGAACTCAGTTTTAAGGTGTGTCTGGGGTTCCCTTGGCCAAGTTGGGTTTCACGTAGGGTTTTATTTTTAGTTCTCAGGGGCACAGAGTTGGGGAGCATGGTTACAGAAGACAGTTGGGGGAGTCTGTGTTCGGGCCACCAGATGGGAGGTTGTGGAGTGGGGCAAGGCTTGGGGCCATGGTTCTCTGTTTACCCAGTGGGCCCCTGGCCTAGAGTTGGGGGGCTCAGGTTGGGAGGTCTTTCGTTGCGGTTGCCAGGCTGGGGTTCACTGTTGAGCGGGGATCGGGGCATCTGCACCCTTGCTGATGGTGGCCTGTGCCTTCCCTCCCAGCCTGTTTGGGGGCCAGGCCAAGGGGCCGCCGGTGACCAACATCATGTTCCTGAAGACGCACAAGACGGCCAGCAGCACGGTGCTCAACATCCTCTACCGCTTTGCCGAGACCCACAACCTGTCCGTGGCACTGCCCGCCGGCTTGCACGTCCACCTGGGCTATCCCAGGCTCTTCCTGGCACGCTACGTGGAAGGCGTGGAAGGCGTGGAAGGTGTGGAAGGCGTGGAGCCGCAGCACCACTTCAACATCATGTGCAACCACCTGAGGTTCAACCTGCCTGAGGTGCGGTGGCCCACTGGGGAGGAGGGCGACCCGCTGGGGAGGAGGGTGGGCTGCGGCCATGGCTGTGGCTGCAGGGTCTGAGTGGTGTAGCCTGGAGGCTGGAGAGGAGGTGGAAGGCTTAGGGGCGTGGCATGCAGAGAGGGGGTGGGGAGGGCCTGGGCCGCACATCCTGCTGAGCCAACCCCTGCCCCTCCAGGTGGCCAGTAGCCTACAGTTGCTCTTGGAATGAGACCTAGGAGTCCCACAGCCCCTGCCCAAGGGCATCCCCAGTGCTCCCCCGCTTCTCTGGCCTCCTCTGGTACTGCACAGGCCCGGCTCACCCCACCCCATGACCTTCGCTCCCGTGGCTGCAGGCCCTCCTTTGGGTCCCTCAGGTCTCAGCACAGAGCCCTCTTCCCCCCAGGGCTTCCCTGACCTTCCTTACAAAAGAAGCAGGGCAGGGAGTGTGGGCGGGAGGGCTGTGGGCAGGCACAGGTGTTTTAGGGTCACCCCCAGCGCTCTGTGGAGAATGGCCAGCAGAGGCTAGGTGACGAGGTGAGGCCAGAGGGAGGCCTGGTGGGGAGAGGTGGTGGGCAGAAAGCGGGGCAGCTTGGGTGTGCTGTGGTGTGGGGGCCGTGGGGCAGAGGGAGGAGCAGGGTTCAGGAGGAGAGGAAAGGAAGAGGGTGGGAGCAGAGAGGAGGCTTCCCACTGTTGTCTCCCTGGGTTTCTGAGGATGGAGAAGCCAGCGGTGTAGTTGGGCATGACTTTCTGCATGACTTTACTTTCTGTGGGTGGGGTATATCCTCCAGGACCTCTGAGGGGGCACAAGTAAGGGTAAGTCCAGACCCACCCTGCGGGGAACCCGGGTCATGGGCCTTCGCTGGGCCTCAGTTTCTTTGTCTGTTAGGTGGGTGTCACCCTGGCCTGGCAGCTGGTGGAGTGCTGAAGGCCCCCTGTGCCAGGAGCCCGAGGAGGGCCCTTCGTGTTGGGTCTGTGCCCCACAGCATTCCACCCCTAGAGGCCTCTGCGTCTTCTCGAGGTGCCATTGGGAGCTCCTCCTCCCTCCTCCTGCTGAGGCCCCATCCTGGCGTCCTTGGCCTCTGTTTTGGGCCCCAGGGAACCAGTGACCGTGCTACAGGGCCTGCGTGTGGCCCTGGCTCTGCTCCCGCAGCTACTGCACGAGGAGGTGCCAGGCCCCGGTCCCTCCGCAGATGTGTGGATGGGGGGCTCCCCGAGCGGGTGTGGCCAGGACGCGCCTCCTCCCCGCGGGTGGGCCACCCTGGCCCGGGCCCGCGCTCCGCAGCCCGCCTCTCTGTCGCCACACAGGTGCAGAAAGTCATGCCCAACAACACCTTCTACTTCTCCATCCTGAGGAACCCCGTGTTCCAGCTGGAGTCCTCCTTCATCTACTACAAAACCTACACCCCCGCCTTCCTGCGCGCCCCGAGCCTGGACGCGTTCCTGGCCTCGCCGCGGACGTTCTACAACGACAGCCTCCTCAAGAACGTCTACGCCAAGAACAACATGTGGTTCGACTTCGGCTTCGACCCCAACGCGCCGCGCGAGGAGGGCTACGTGCGCGCGCGCATCGCGGAGGTGGAGCGGCGCTTCCAGCTGGTGCTCATCGCCGAGCACCTGGACGAGTCCCTGGTGCTGCTGCGGCGCCGGCTGCGCTGGGCGCTGGACGACGTGGTGGCCTTCAGGATCAACGCCCGCAGCGCGCGCTCCGTGACCCGCCTGGCGCCCGAGACCCGGGAGCGCGCGCGGAGCTGGTGCGCGCTGGACTGGCGCCTGTACGAGCATTTCAACCGCAGCCTCTGGGGGCAGCTGCGCGCCGAGCTGGGGCCGCGGCGGCTGCGCGGGGAGGTGGAGCGGCTGCGCGCCCGGTGGCGCGAACTCGCGACCCTGTGCCTGCAGGACGGCGGCGCGCCCAAGAACCGCACGCAGATCAGAGACCCGCGCCTGCGCCCCTACCAGCCCGGCAGGGCCGACATCCTGGGCTACAACCTCCGGCCGGGCCTGGACAACCAGACGCTGCGCGTGTGCCAGAGGCTGGTGATGCCTGAGCTCCAGTACATGGCGCGCCTGTACGCCCTGCAGTTCCCGGAGAAGCCCCGCAAGAACATCCCGTTCCTGGGGGAGTAGAGGGGCCGGGGCCGGGGTCGGGGCCTCCTGCGGACAGCAGCCCCTCTCTCCGCCGTCACCGGGGAGGCCGGGGATCCTCGCAGGGCTTCTGGGGCGTTGGGAAACCCAGGCCCGCCGGCTACGGCTCTAAAATGAAGAGGGTGGAGACCCCAGTCAGGAGCCGCCCACCCCGACGATCCGCCCAGATCCCTCCCAGAGAGCGCCCTGAGCCCAGGCGGCAGCCCCCCTCCCCCCGCCCCCGGGTCCGAGGCTGTGCCTCTGTTCACTGAATAGGACTGAACAGGAGGGCGGGGGAGTAGGGGAAGCTGGATGGCAGGTCAGCACCTGCCCGGCAGGACGCGCATGCCCGTGAGCCCCGGGTCTCCCGAGGGTCCTGAGCACTGGGGCTGTGGGTCCTCGGAGGAACTCAGAGTGGCTCCCCTGAATTTCCCGGCGCTGGCAACAAGGTGCTGGTCCCAGAGACAGCTGCAGGCACAGGCAGTGCCACAAAGACCAGCCCGGAAACGGGGCAGGGGCCAGGGGTCAGCCGCTCCCAAACAGCTCCCCATCTTTAGCTGCAGGAGGTTTGGTTCTGATGGAAGGACGTTTTCTACAGAGATGGCACAGCTGCTCACAAGACCAGAGCTCTAGCTCGGCTCCACGACCCCTGCTGGTCAGCCCCTAATGCCCCGTGAAGGAGAGGACGTCTCACTTGCCAAAGGAGTGGTTGGGGGTCCACATACCCTTGGTTGCCTTGGAGACCATGTTGGGTGTGGTGCCAGAGGGCAGCTGTGGGCACCCCTCGTCATTCACACGGAGGGACAGAGCCTCCCTGCCTGGCAGGACGTGATCCCTGGCTGCCAGGGGCTCAGCGGGTAAAGGGGTGCACATGCTGGGACCAGCCGATGCTTGGGGCACCCAGGAAACGCAGCTACTCTGCTGCACGCCAGCCTGGAGGTTGAGACCCCAGCAGTGGATCTAGGCCTGCAGGTCTAGGTGTGTCCTTGCTTTTTTGGGGGGGGCAGGGAACCAGTATTTCAAAGAAGAGAGATAACCCAAACCAGCAGCATAGGCAGCTCCCTCGGACCCCAGTGTAATGGGGGAGCTTCAGGAAGAGTGAATTTTCAGTGAGAGTCGGCTGTGAAGAATGGCACGAGCTCCACTGAGTCAGAGTCAGCCAGGGACCTCAGCAGGTCACCCTCCCTCCTCAGCCCAGAGACCTCTGCAGGCCGCCCACCCTCCCGCCCCTCTCAGCCCAGGGACATCTGCAGGCTGCCTACCCTCCCTCCCCGCTCAGCCCAGGGACTCCTGCAGGCCGCCCACCCTCCC